GAGCTCTGACTCGCAGGGACATAATCAATGCCAGCTTGAACCTGCCCATGTAAACCAACAACACAAAGCTCCATCCTGAAAAAGAACACATCACCAATAAACACCCCCGGGATCGCCCCAACAATTCGCTTATCGCGATTCATCCATAACCCGTGTTCTCTTAAAACCTGACAAGCCTTCAAATCACCTCTAGTCTTCCTATGAGGCACCACACTCATGTTATTCTCATCGTCCACCATCGCTAAAACACGTAATGAATCATACAGCATTCGAGTTCTCCTAACAGCATCACGAAAATAACGTTGATCTTCAGGTTTAAGATCTGTAACCCTAACTAATTCAGATGATCTTTGTTGATATTTTCTTCTAGGAATTACCATTTCCGAAACCTGATTATCCTCATTATTAACCGGAACAATGGCACGTGAATTATCCAGGTCCACCTCGACGTCACGGGTATCATCATTCTCAGGGTCAGCAACAATCTCAATATCTCCGTAACGCTGCATTCGTTTAGCAAAAGCTTCACGAAACAGCTCAGAAATTCTGTTATACTCAGAATACACATTTGTTTCATTAGACCCAGATGGGTTTTGTTCAGATGTAATAATTGAGCTGTGTGATAGTGAATTAGGAGTGAAATTGGAGTTGAAATTGAGAGTATTAGGGTTGGAGAAAAGAGGTGGGGTTTGAAGATCAGCTTGAGTAAATTCATCCAGTGGTTCAAGTTTTGGTTCAATTTTGGGGGTAATTAACGGAGTTGGAGAATTAGAGGTTAAATTGGTGGATTCAGGTTGAAGATTAAGGTCTTGAAATGGGACAAGAGAACCCATTTTCTCTCTCTCTGTGTGGAGAATCAACAAAGAATTTTTGTGGGGTTTTCTTAGGACATGAAAAAGGAGAGAGAAAGTTGTTTAGGGGTTTGAAGAGAGGTTGATAAACAGAGGTTTTGTTCATGGAAATGGAAAAAAGGGACTTAGGGAGGAAGAAGAAGAAGAAGAATTCATGAGTGGATTATGGCAATATGGACAAAATTACAAAAATATTGGGAGTAAATAAAAATAATACTGGGGACAAAATTTATATTTTTGTTATAAATTTAAATTTCATAAATGGTAGAAAAAATTTATATTTGTTGACCAAAAAAGGGTAGCGTTCACGCAAGATCCGAGAAAGGGTCGCATCTTGAGTAGTGTGATGTAGACAGCATAATCTAATGCAAGTATCAGTAACTACTTTTATGACTTTAACCCATAATCTATAGGTCATACGGTGACAAATCTTCTTTTTTATTTTTTGAGGTAGGTAAGCAAAGGTAAATCTATAATTTAAATTAAATTATTTGAGTATAATATTACCACAACAAATTGATTAATTGGGTTTTAAAATATATTATTTTTACATAAGAATTAAGCTAAAGCCAGTAGGTTTGGATGAACTCATAATTTGTACTAAGTCCACTTCGGAAAGTGAGAAAAATTATGGATGGGAAAATTCTTTAGTATTCGCACCAATTAAACACTCCCTTCAGTCCACAATAAGTGATTTTTTGGTCTTTTTGTATGGTCCAAAATAAGTAATTTTTTCAGATTTTAAGAATGAATTAATTATTTTTTTCCTTCATTATCCTTGGAGTAAACAGTGTTGGAGTATGTGTTAGGAGTGTTTATGTGAAGAGATAATAAAGGTTAATATGGTCAATTTTATTGCTAATTAATGTTTAAAATATGAATTTTTTAATCTGTGTGAAAATAGCCAAACTTATTATGGATGGGAGGGAGTAATACATAATGTACTTTAATATAAATGAAAACTTTTATGACCACATAAATTTTATAGCGTATTTAAGACCACAAATTTTAAAAGTCTCGTACCACACAAATGATATGACCTATTCAAACTCGCAAGTTTCAAAAAAAATAATTTTTTTCTTAAATTATGTTTTGAATCAAACTACTTCAGATAAATTAACGAATGAAGAATTATACAATATATATTCATATTTTAATTTGTAGCTTCGAAATTATATTTTATGGAATGGAATGTTGAATTTGATTTTATGGTAAAATAGATATATCTTATAATATTAATTTTTTCGTAGAGTTTGACTTTTATGAGAACCCCTTAACCAGGAAAGAAAGTACAAAAGCTAGTGGATTTAATAAATATTTAGGCTCACGTAATGGGGTTTTTAGAATTTAAAGTACAGCTTATGTAATGGAAGCAACGAGTGGGGGAGTACATGAAAAGATTTGTACGTTTGACCATTTGAATTTGGTACAATAAGCATATAAGAATTCTACTATATGTAGATTTTCATGTACGTTGAGTTGAATTTTACTATTTGTAATTTGTCAAAATTATAAATATTTGATTTAAAAATTCTAAGGATTAATATTTTAGAAGATTTTGTGTTTTGAATAAAAGTTTTACCATCATTTAGAATAATATAACTTATTAAGCACTTCATATGTGAAAACTTTTAAATAATTCTATAATGTATTTGCTTGATTCTATATAACAGGCAAACCGGCCCGGGCCCGGGCCTAAACGAGCCTCATGAGTCGGTCCTAAATAGGCTGATACTTCGTGGGCCGGGCTTAAAATACAATTGAATCACTTTCTAAAGTACATTAAGGACAATAATTGATTGAATTACAATGAATGGTTTTCTTTGTAGTGAATTTAGTTCAAATCCTTTATATCGAACAAATATTGAGAAATAATATTTTTTTATTTTAATGTAAAATTGAATCATATTACATGTGTGTTTAATGTTAATTCATAGATTTATTTGAAGAAATTTGTCACTACTAGAAACATGTGTATTTCACAGATATCCTTGAGAAATGTGCTTGTAGAAAAATATTTCTAACAGATTTTTATCGAAAATTCCATATTATTGATAACGTTCCAACAAGAATAATCGTGAAGAATCTACAGATTTCTAGTACTAGTTGTCAAAACTCTAAATAAATGAAAAATAAAAAAAATGTCTTGACAGTTTTATCTCGTCATCCTCCTTCCTATGGAGACGGATCTAGAATGAATTTAATTGGTTCAACTGAACATATTACTTTCAATTTGAATTATTTATATATTTACTTTGAATTTGCTGCCTCTAAATATTAAATTCGTCAGACCGACCTTGTTCAGAACGACCCAAAAGCCCACATCTTCTATTTTCTCCCTTTCATCTATTTTTCACATTCCACTGAAAAAAATTATGAGAGTCCTATTTTTTCCCTTAAAGTAGGACTTGTTACACAAAGTATTATAAATCATTATTTGTTTACCATTACAAATAATAAAATTTTGGAAATTAATACAAGAAGATAATATGATATCATATAAAATGAAACAGAGGAAGATAAGAAGGGAATCCTATGCAAAGTGGTAGTTGTTTAGGTAGAAGGCAACTTTATATAGGACCCACAACCTCTTATCTTTTTGTCCCCACAATGCACATGTTCCAAAGAATCTAGCTATAAATATAGAAATTGCACGTATATTTAATATTTATATCAAATCAATAAATATCTATTTTATTTATTTATAATTTTATTTTATTTTTCTTTTTAATTTATGTGATGATTTATAAATTTCGAGTGTCAAACAAGTTAGCTTCTAATGTAAATTCGAACATAAAATATTTAAATATTTTAATTAAAATTTATATATTTGAAAACTACATAAAAAGTTCTATAAGTCATTGTAAGTATAATTTAAATTATTTAAAAGACATAAAAAATAGTGATAAAAAAGACTCATTTGATTCACGAAATTCGGATACCTCCACATAAATTGAGATTAAAAAAAAAGTATTATTAACTATAGTTGATTAAAGTATATTTTCGTTGTAATATATCAGAGATAATATATTAATATAATTTTACATAAACATTGAATTTATGTAAACTATTTCGTTAATGATTGGTTCAGATTAGTTTTTAAAAGTTAGTCTTCGGATAAAAGTTTATACATAGAAGTAATTGTGGGAAAGCTTGTATGTTAGATTAGTTGTTTTAAAAAATCTAATTGATAAGAGCTAAACATTTTGTTCCAAGAAAAAAATAATTAAAGAAGGCTCTAGCTATTGTGTTAATTCGATTTATAACAAGGGGCACTTTCGACTTTTCAGATTGAGGTAAAAAATGACGCGTCTGCTGATCTTGTGTTCTAAAAGCCGGGAATTTCAAATTCTGTTATTTGACCCCCCTGAACCCCCCACCCCCACCCCCAAAATAAAAACTTACTTTAAAAAAGGAAGCGGACTTTTCCCTCTTTTATTTGTTTCTAACTTCCCTTTTTAAATAAATACTCCATCCATTCACTTTTATTTGGTAAGTTTTGACTTTTTACGTCTCTTAAAAAATAATAAATAAAGTGTATAATTTATCATAATATTCATATCAATTGATGAATATTTTATTGGATTTGAGAAAATGATTTGAAATAAGTAATAAATAATATGAGTATAACATGAAAAAAAAATTATTCTCTTAATATACGTAAAATGACAAGTAAAAATAAAAATCTATTTACATTCCAAAGTAAAAGTGAATGGAGGGAGTAAATAAGAGAGAAACCCACATTTTCCTGGGGAGATTTCAATGTTTTGCCCCATTATAAATGTTATTTTAATTATATAATTATTTTTCACAAAAAGTAGTAAAATATAACACAAGAGATATATAAATTAGAAGTAAAAATATATATACACAATTATTTTCTCCGATTCAAATTATGAATAAACATAAAATTTATTTCCTTTAGTAACAAGGTTATCACCTTCGCTTGCTTGAAGGTGAAAGACCAATGAGGTTGAGGTTCGAAGTTAATCTTGTTATTAAGTATTAACTTTTCCATGAAATATTAATAATAAAATATGCCTACTCAGAAAATGGAACAGAAACATATTGTATTGGTCAAAATCTGACTGTCACGTCCGAGTTGACCAACGTCCCGCCTAAATGATCGGGCAGTGAAAGATAACATAGCACATTCTATATCTCTTTCCTGACACCCGTCGAGTCGTAAAGAACAATGCCTAAAAGGATGACCAAGACACACTGGAGGCGAGAGAGCGTCGGACCAAGTAAATGGCAAGGGTGCCTTGACTATATATAGCAGAGGAAAACCTTCGATTAAAGGAGGCTCTTTCCCCCTTTCTCTTTCCCAAGCTCTCTTCTTGTAATCTTGATAGGAAGGAAGTAATCTACAGAAGAACATGTAAAGCTATCTCCCCCATCGATCGATAGGAGTCACAATGATGAATTTCAATAAGATCGTTTGTATCTTTTTCGTCTTATATACAATCCATACTATTAGCTCTTTGATCTGGAATTTATTATATCTGACTAAGATTTACCCCTTCATTTTCTTTGATTGATTTGTTCAAAAAGATTCCAATATCTTTTGAGTCAAACAATTTGGCGCTGTCTGTGGGGATTTCTTAGTAAAATTTCCAAGTCTCTCCCAGATCAAAGACAAGAAATACGATCACCCACCGAAAGGATCGCGAAGTAAAAACCCAACCCACACGAGACAAAAGCATAACACGGTAGGGGGAGGAGAGCCGAGTAGAATCACCAAGTTTAGAAATCTTTGCCCCATCAACCATCGAAATGCCAAACAAGACGAACAACGTTACCAACTTGTTCTCCCCCATTGGACCATCGGGTAGGGGCAAGGAAAGTATCATTTTAACTCACCTTCTGCTCTTTGCTCAAGAAGGAACACAAAGGCCGTGCGGACGAGCGAGTAAAGAAACATCTCAATTAAAAAACGAAAAACTACTGCAAAACAACCGAAACACCGCCCACCCGATGACACTTCCAAGATGAAAGGCAAAAGTCAGGCAAGGAAACTACAATGTGTGCACAGAACGAACCTAAGCGAAATAGCAACGTTTCGTATTCTCCAACGTTGCACCCCCTGATGCAAGCAATGTCAAACGAACTAGGACTCTCCCAGAAAATGTACGGCTCTCCAAAAACTGGGACTGACGACAGGTTACTATTTCGATAAAT